TTTTGACTGCAAACATGGTAGAGTGTACAGTTATTGGATGTAAACCGGGCCCTGGAGCTTCCACCACCTACTACGTAATAATAATCTGACATCGTAGCAGATATTACATGTTACACAACCACTAACGGTGTGTCAACCACTGACAGTAACAAGCTGACAAAAAAAAAAAAGACAATAAAGGACTACATTTTTGATATGTCTGCTAGTCACCAATTTTTGCGCACAACAGACTCATCATCTGAGTCTGGGTCTGACTGAGGCTCAATCATGTAGACACTGGCTGAATCTCTTTCACCGGTCAACCTAGCAAGCAGCTGCTGGTCGGCGGGGCATGGATGAAGAATTTGTCATTGAGGGCTAAAGAGTAGATGTTATTATGTTACAACCCCTCTTCCGATTATTTTTATCTTTTTACGTGGGGAAACCTACATGCTTACATACTTTGAAATGTACTTTCCATGTTATTGTGGAGCATAGCCACACTTTACGTTGACTGTATTATCAGGTGAAGTGTAAGTATGTCATCCCAGAAATCAAAGCTTCTTCTAATCCTGAGAGAATCCATTACTGTACGTGCAACCATTTTTTTTATGCATGCCACCTTCCCCCAAAATATGTATGTCTTTTTGCAGCTGCCTGCATATGCCAAGAGCTAGCAAATCCTTCAGTGCTGCCTGAGCCATTTTTCCCTTTGAGAATAAGCAGGAGAGTGTTTTCCGCTATCTTATTGCAACACTTCACGCGTCTACTTGCTGTCAAGATGCTCCACTCCAACTTGAGTTTTTGATTTGAGTTTTGGCAGTTTGCAGCTGATCTCAAATTGCTACCAATAAGCTTTGAGCATGACATATTCATATTTGACAGACTTGTACGTATCTAAGAAGGAAATGAGCCATCTAGACCTCCCTGATGTGTATTTTTTTTTCAGTCCTGCACTTTCATCACCTGATGGGTCTATTGCTCAGCTAATGTAGGGTTACAAACTTTAAAGAACATTTGCCTGTGCTCACAGCGTTTGTCAAGCCTAAATTTGATCGAACAAACAAAGGTCTTTACAAATCTGTGTACTATTGTTTCTCATTGTAAGCAAAATAAACATTTATCTGCTACAGGTGATTAATGAAAATTGAGAGTATCTGAGCATTACATCTTAATTTGTATTGGTAGGATATAGGGAGAGGCACGTTTTAATGTAATAACAAATACAGTTGCAATACTTCTTAATAATTGCTTATTCATGTTGCGGTTGATAGAATAACTCCACAGCACCTTGGTAAGTAAATGTGTTATATACTGTATAGTAGCATGCTGTTTCCTGCTTAGACTACCAATAAACTGGAACACAAACTGGCTTCTCAATAAAAGATATTTTGCAGTTGCTGCAATGGATCTTAATCTCGTTCCCACATAAAAAGCCCTCACACTGGACTTTAATTTGATCAAATTACTTCAGGTTCAAATTGAAAACATAACCTTTAAAAAAAACTTACTTTTATTAAGCTATATTTCTCATTAATGTTATTTTTTGGAAAAGCAGCTCAGGATGATATTTAGGTTTTCTCCTCAGAAGATTTTTCTCAGTATCAGTTTAATTCTACAAAACTAATGAACTGTGATTAAGCTGTGATTGGCAGTTGTGAAGTTATCTGAGTACCTCATGTTTTCTAAATACCCCAAGGAAGAACTAAACACTGAAATCTAAAACATCCCCATAAAAAGATTCAAATTTATTTGAACTCTTTGAAGCACCTACCTCACCTAAAATATAATCAACTGGGAAAGAAAGATAAATATTGCAGTGATTGAAAAATGAATGAGAATTTAGAATGTATACCAAGAAAAACCGGATGAAAGCTGAACTGGATGACTTCTGAGAATAACTCCTTTTTTGTTCCAGCATGAAGCATGTAACCTGGGTCACCTGGCGGTTGTGGAGGTGTTGGTCTCAAGAGGAGCCCTGTTGAATACGCCTGGCTATGAAAATGACTCTCCACTCCATGATGCTGTGAGGAACGGTCACCAAGCCATTGTCAAACTGCTGCTGCAGCTTGGAGCCTCGCAGAACGTACTGTAAGTGTTTTTATTGTATGCTTAGAGTTTATTGATTGTACAGGTGAGATGCTGCCATAACGCTGTAGGCCTATTTTAAGTGTGTAACGACAATTTTATGCTGTATACAACACTGCAGAAAGAGTGTGGCTTTTTTAAAGGGTTCCTCCATCTCAGACAGATCACATGATTTTCCACCACAAGATCAGGGTCATCCATGTATTCATGTTATGTTGGTCTCTCTGTGAAAAAGGGCTGCTGCAGGACAAGCGATTATCTTCACAGGTGCCATGTTTTGCTCGGCACTGGCATTGTGTGAAAATCTTCAAGTGCTGACCAGAAAGTCTGACCTTAGAGCAAGATTTTCCAATAGATATGTTTGACAAAATAAACTTTTAGCCTGGTACTTTGTGTTCTGTGAAATGTAAATTCATTTTAAAAACATTACTTATCGTTTACTTACAAGATGCAGGAGCCTCCAGTCAAATGAAAACGCAGCTGTGAACTGGTGCCGGACGAAGACCTGATGTATTAACTAATACTGCATCTACTCCTACATGTTAAAATTGTGATGATTTGTGAGCAATCGGATGCATATTTATGAAAAATATGATGAGCAAGTTTTAATTTGTTAGGTCCTTTGAATGTTTTTGCACGCTTTTTATGTATGTAAATAAATGAGCTGGTTGAAATATAACAAGTCAAAATTGAGTCAGAAACTGAATATTTTAAGTAAGTTAATATTAAAAACAGAGCTATTGTATTTCATTGCATTACATCATAGAGGTGCTTCTGTTATTCTGGACCAGTGCTTGTTTTCTATGTCTTAGATAAATCGTCATGTGCCTGTCGTCTACTAGTTATTGTACCAGGCATTCAGTTCTTTATTATCAGGCGTGGGTTAGTGCAGTACATAGTGGGTAGATAGAAAATCAACTGAGGCTGATTAGTTGTTGGTCAATCACTGCATGCTGTATCAGCATTTCTGGCCTGTGGAGGCAGGGTTGATGCATAGCACAATGTCCATAATGAGGGAGAGGATGCTGGTTAATCATCATGATCAATAAAGTAGTTAACCAGGGCCAGTGTGCTGATCAGTTAGCGCTCTCCTTGGGATCATTTTACACCAATCATTTTCTGTCTTCTCCCTCCTTCATTGTATTTATCTGATTGCTTTCAATAGGTCTCCATCGCCAGGTCTTACATTTTCTCCTCTTTGCTTTGTTACTAAAAGATGCAGCGGTTGGGACTGTCTGTCAGAGCGCTGCAAGATGAATGTAATCCTTGCCCCAGCCTCCTCACTTACCACAAACACACACGCATATACTTTACACAAGAGGCCAACCAAGACATCTGCCAATGTAATCCCTAATGGAGTGATTGGCACACAGCTCAGGGTTCAGAAATGTGCTCTAAATCAGTGAGTCAACTTTCTGTCCGGCTCAAGTATTTGACTTGCTGGGCAGGTTATTAGAAAATACTGAGGAAACTCTTAAAACAGGCAAATTCTCAGCCATTCCCTGTTATCTCAAAAACAACAGGTTTAAGCATTTTCTAAGAAGCTACACAGCATGCACAGCAGGGCTCCTGACTATAAGTCTCCGTCCTGTAAGCATAAATATCTACCAGTGCAGCACATTTGGACAGCCAGGATGAGGCTGGCAAGGTGTTAGCTGGTAGCGTATGTTATGTTTACAAATTTAAACTTAAAACAGACGTAGTGTTTTGCATATTTTAAAAATATACTACAAACGATGTTACTGCCTGTTATTTTCCTGATAGGTTTCTAGATGGTAACTGTTCGTGTCATGCAATGTCAGTATGAAAATGAATTTGTGTTAATGAGTAAACAAAACGTATGTGAATCGGCCCAGTCCTAATGACCTCCCCAAGCCTGAAGCACTGAATCCATACAGACCTTAATTAACATCACCTTTGTGCCTCGTCACTTCTAATGCAGTGGATGGGTATAATTACTACATACAAAGTAAAACTGCGAACTTCCACATGTTAGCGGTATGACTACATACAATACTGAATACAGCAATGACATTTAAAATGGACGGAACCCTTTGATCCAGACATTACATGAGATATTTTTATATATATATATTGTTGAATTTGATTTGCATGGCTTACCTTCAGTAAGATGAGACAGTGTTTTCGCCTTCCACTGGATGGATGCCATTTTCTTATTTCTTCTTTCTTCTAATCTTTGAAATGTACTCGGTGTACTCCCTCTCAGTGTGGAAACTTTCATCCTGTTGTCAGAAAAAGTGCACAATTCCAATTTTTGGCTCTTATCCACTGAATTACACAGATTTCTCCCCCCACTCAAATGACAAGGTTTTTTGTTACAGTTTTTTTTTAAGAGCTATTTTTAGGAGCATGAAGCAAAGTGTGATTTATGTGGTTTGGCGTCAGAGAGCGTCATCTGCATAACAATTACAGGACAATACTCAGTAAGTCTATAGATTTAAATGGAGGCCTTGGGTGAGTCATGTACTGTGTCATCAACTATAAGCTGCAACGCCCAAGCTGATCCAGCCATCAGGAGAAACTGAGACTGGATTATTTAAGAAGGAAATGTAGCTAATGAACCTTTTGATTAAAAATGCATTGAGGCCTCGCCCACTGCCTCATCAGTTGCTTGCCACGTGTGTCTATCATTAGATTTATGGCTCCTTTTAAGACATACTGCTGAGCTGACATAGTTCAAAAGCTCTGTCAGCTGTGGTTTGAATTTTGAATTTACCTCAGAATCGTAGCGCACAGTACTCTATTCTATTCTATTCTTTAAGGACAAGTACATTTGAGACAGAAATATACCTGTAGATAATTGACTGTAGATTAAGTTAAACATATGTGTTTGAACCAGGTACAGTAGCAGTTCTTAAAGGTATGTATCAGTCAATAATAGGCTATAATTAATTATCATTATCATTATTGTTATCGGTACTGTTACTGTTATATTATGTTGGCGAGGAGGGGATGTTCTGTAGAAAGGCTATGGATGGTGTTCGGTCTGAACTGAACTATGTACTTGTGTTCAGCTTGAAGGTGATATTTGTATCTCCTCCTCCCGGTTAGAGTAAGATTCATGGTTACCGTGGTTATCCTCTAGAACCACCACCGCCTTCCTCCCACTTGTGTACTAAAGCAGAGGCTTGTAGGAGAGTGTTTGTGACTTTACCTCCCGCACAACTTTCCACGCTTTATTATTTTTCCTTCAGATATTCGTCTCACGTGCAGCTGCAAAACCAGCGTGTGTGTGTGTGTGTGTGTGTGTGTGTGTGTATGCGCATATGTATGAGTGTTAGGGACATTTTATGTTTGTTTGTATTTGTGTGTGTATGGAGTTGGGGGTATGAATCCAAATGAAATATTTTATGGACCAGTGGACCTATTAATTGTCCCCCAGGTGTTATCTTTGCTGACGCCTAATCTTTTAGAGACGACCTGCTGGGCTTGGTTCTTCTCTGCGTCTCCTCTCCTCCTCCTTGTACTTTTCTTCATTCTTTTCTCCTCTTCCTCTTTCCTCAAGGTGACCTCAGTCTTGCTTCACGGAGCTCTCTTAAAGTTAAACATACGTACTTTAAAGGTGTTTCTTAAATATAACTATTACAACCAGGGGAAGTCGGCAGTTTCATCTTTTCAAGATGTGGAAAATGCTGCTTTTGTGATGACCTTTAAACATACTGTGTATTAGAGTAGCGTGTATTGCAGTTAAATACCTATACTGTCCCTTAAAAGTAATGTGCTCCTCTCACCAGATAAATGTAGGGAATTGAGAAAGCTTACACGCTTAAAAGTCAGCACTTTTCAGTAATGTTACGCAGCTATGAGAATTTCTTAATTTTTGCATGCAGTGAGTCTAGTGTGTTTTAAAGGGACATGGAATGAAGTAGAGCACAGATTTCAGCTCACCCTCATATCAAACAATTATGCTCCAACAAGTGAATGACACACATGGATGCACAGTTTCACAGAACAAGCAGGGTGTGACATGGACAAATTGTTTTTCTCAGAGCTCTGGACTGGCAAATATTGATTTTTTTTTTTTTTGTGTGTGTGTGTCTGTGTACTGCTTGGCCAGTGAACAAAACAACCTCAAATGTGCATGCATTGTGATGAAATGATATGACAGAATGATTATCTTGTTGGACTTATCACAAAGTAACTTCAGTTCTGTGTCAGTGTCTTTGAAAGCTTTGTCACATAGGCCGGTCAGGACAGCAGCAGGTTGTTACAAAAATATATGGATAACTAGTGGAATTTGAAAAATGTAAGTCTCTTGCAAGTTGCTAGGAGACTAGGGCTGTGTCTTGGCAAGAATCTGGCTATAGGATATATTATATATATGTATCATGATACAGGGATTACAATGATGTATATTGTGATAGTGTGAAATGTAATTTTAAGAAAACTATCATAGTATAAAGAACACACCACCATATTCATAAAATCTGAGTTTAAAAAATGTTATGCAACCAAAACAGTGGGATCTGTGTTTGTATTTATCATAGTACCTGTAACATCCAACATAATAGCCCTCAGTTTACGCTTACAACACTGCTATGTAGCGTTTGGGAATTTAATAGATTTTTTTGAGTACAGATATCTCAAAACTAAATATTGCAATACAATAGTTTCAAACAATTTCCTACACCTCTAAAGGACAAACAATAGGATATAATTTGAAAAGGGAGAATTGCTTAAGTGGTCCCCGGCCAGAACCGTGTACTTTGGCAGATTGTGATGTGAAAGGCAACATTTTTTTGAAAACATGGTTTTCTGTAAAGTACAAAAAGGATCATTGTTTGAGATACATGGGCAGACAGAGCCTGTGCTGTCAGTGCTCCAAGACTCAACCTGCCCAAGAAATAAGGCTAGCGGAGACCGTGTCACCCTGAGCTCCTGTAGAAACATGGCAGATTCCATTGAATGTGACTGTAGATATAAAGGCTTATTCTAAAGTACCAAAAACTTATTTTCAGGTGATTATACAATAATGAAAATATAGTTATGCATATTATATTTCATTTCTGCAATGAGCCTTATAAATGTTACACACGGCACCTTTAAATCTTATAGTCTCTGCATCATAGCTCACTGACACACCATTGGACCAGTAGATTCAGTATTTGTATACTGATAGTAAAGATTTGTTCACATGAAGGGGATTTCTTAAATCTAAGTACATTGAATTATTATTATTTTTTTTTTTGTCAGTGTGCTGTCGTGTTTGTGCTCATCAGTTCTGGTCACCAGATGGTCTTCATGGCCAGAAATGCATAAATACAGAAGTGTATGCCTACTGTGAGACACTGACACACTTTATCTTTTGAATTTTCTTCTTCACAGTAATCTGTATGGAAAGCGGCCGGCAGATTACGCAGTGAGTCTGAAGATGCTGGAGATTTTCCAGGAAGCCTCAGAAGGAACCCAATATGCTAATACATCTCATAGCCCCTCAGCGAGCCTCTCTGTGGTACGTCCACATAAGGATGGGATTACGTTTCTTCTTTTTTTTTTATTATTTCCTTTTGAAATTGTTCACCCTAGATTGCAAATATTCTTGCATTATAGGCCTAGACATTTCTAAACCACGTTCTAATGTCGTTTCTTAGGTGAGCGACTGTGTGAGGAGAGATGAAATGGTTGTGTTTCTGGCCAGCAAGCTGTCACAGCCAGAACGGCATCAGCTGGCCAAACTGGGAGAGCTATTGGGAGGGAAGATGGCTGACACCTTTTCTGGTTCAGGTAATGTTTGTGTGGTACAGAAACACCTCCGCAGCAGGGGTTAGACTTTAGACTAGCCGCGTGTGATTGCTTTTTAACGTTGTTGTTTGAGACATGTGGGCTCTCAGCAACACTGCAAATTAACAGCAGCTACAAGCCAATTGTGGGTACACTGGGACCATGGCTGGTATGTTTGTTCACTGATAAACACTCTGATAGGTAATCAACTATCATTTGCATGTCCTGTTTAACTGAAAGATCTATTGGATGGGTAAATTGCAGGCAGACCAAAGGCTCTGCATGGTGTTTGTTATGAACATTATAAACAGTACTTTCACCTCCATGAAGATTGGATTTTTATCTGAATGATCAGTTTCCTACAGAGCCAAGCTTTACAGGCTTTACTACCATGCACGGACCCTTTTGAACTGTAAAAGCGAACAGTAGGTGCTTGAACATTATCACTCATGAAGGTTCAACAGTAACTAACAAGTGCTTTTAGAGCTGTATACATCATTGTGATACAGCAGCTCCTTCACTGTTGCATAGTAATGGCTGAGGGAACACCAGAGAGCAAAAGTAATTGAAATCATTCCTCATAAAATGTTTGGAGGTACTGTCAAGGTGATGAATAAGCACTAATGAAAAACAGAAGTGTTTCTCACAACTCTCCTCTGACTGGAGGGATGAACGTTAGTACTCTCAAAGAACGTTTTTTTTTTTTTTTAATTTTTGAACTCAAGGCTACAAATCCATGGTCAATGCACAATGTTAAAAGGTTTGCCCTGGAGATATAATTATGTTCATTTTGTACTTGTCAGCCAAGCTCACTTGTTGAATGAAAAGGCAATAAGCTTGTATTTAAACTTTAATTAACCTATAATTATATATCCATGTCCAAAGCGTTTTATGAAATAAGCTGTCTTTTGTGTCATTACCATGAACTTCTTGACATGTTTCCACTAGGCTTACCTGTTCACCCAGGCAAAGTAAGGGACAGCGGTAAATTATTAACTGAGAAATGCACTGTATTTAGTGGATACATGAAGAATCAGTATCCAATTGTAGAAAACTCAAAGAATGGGTTAATGATTTTAACACAACTCAACAAACCTTCTGTGTATGTGTAGGAAAACTCATTTGTACCTTTTTTAATTTGCTGTCCGTGCGTGTGTCTGTGCGTGTGTCTGTATCCTCTTCCTCCAGTGAGCCATGTCATACTGCCAGAAGGACACATGCCCACCACCTACTCCACCCTCCTGGGTCTTCTTGCTGGTTGCTGGGTTGTCAAATTCAGCTGTGAGTATGAAGTGAGCCATTGTCTGAAGTACTTCTCTATAGATGCTATTTTAGGATGCCATGTTAAACAGTGCTGTTGGAACATGGGTAACTTCTTAGTGCAGTGACACAGAATCAGATTTTATCCAAACTCTCCTGGATGTTAATGTGTTTGTAGCCTAAGGTTGGCTAACCTGTGATAGCTGTAATTAAAGCAGCAGCTGTGGCTGCAAAATAAAATCCATACACTTCCATGCTGTGTAAATCCAAATAATTTTACTATAAATCCAAAACTCAAATATTTACCTTATTATCTCTGAGATTTTAGAGTTAGAGTTCACCATGACAATAAAGGAAAACCACGTTTGGATATTTATTCAGCTCAGCTCCTTTCATTCCTTTCATTAATTCAGTCTGGATGACTTTACACGCCTTTACCCATTACTGCAGCTCAGGATAACATGAGGCAAATTTGTGAATAAATTATTTTTATACTCAATGAGATCATGACTATTGATTCAAATCTTGCCCACTTCAACCATTTTAGCTTTTCTTCAAGAATTTTTCATACATACTGTAATTTTCCATTTCTAGCAGCAGAAACAGTTCCGAGGTGCTTTAGTTATAAGTAATAGATTGTTTATCATTAGACAAAAGAGTACAAATGTCACTCAAGGCTACTTAAAATGCCCACTTTGGTAAATAAGGCTTTATTCCCACTGTTATTTAAGATGCTTATTTGCCTTCTTGTCGAGATTTAGATGAGAAGCTCAGTACCACTCAGATGTCTGCTGGTAAACCATTGCCAGCAGGGGGTTAGCTTAGTTTAGCATAAAGACTGGAAACAGGGAAACTGCTCTGTCAGAAGATAACAAAAAACAAAAAATGCCTACTAGCACACCCCCCTAATTCATACGATTTATCTTGTTAAGTCCGTACAAAAACAGCAGAAACAGCAATTCGCCATGTTACGCCACGTAAAATGGCGGACTGTTTAGTGCCTGGCAACTGCATGTATTGTTGTTTGAGTGCTACCTGCAAGGTCACATTTGTATTCAGTTCCAGGGTGCTCTATCCGTAGAAAGGGTATTTCTATCAGCATTAGAAGTTATGTTTGCTGCAGTAAGGTGCCTTTTGGCATGGTGTAGGACAAGTGAAAAATCTAAGTGGTAAATATTGGAATCTTGGAACCACAGTGCATGACAAATGGATTGTGCTGCACAAGCTGTTTGGAGTCATTTTATGGGTTTTGTGTTCTTCTCTAAATCCCAAAGAACATTTTCCTGCCATCTCTGTCTCAGAAACGATGGAGTTGTATTGGCTAATGTGCAGTTTGTCACCTTGGCTTCCAAATGTTATTGGAAACATGAGGATATTTTTACTAATTGTAATGGTATTGATTGGCTGCTGTCTCATCATAGGTCCTACTCCAGTGTTAATTCCTCCTCAGTACCAAACTAGTCTGAGCCATGTACATTCAATATTGCACTTCCTCTCCTCTGCAACCTTTTAGGGGAATCAGGCTGTGTGTTTGGAATAGGAAGTTCTAAACGCATTACTTTTTTGTTTCCTGCAACACATGAAATGTCCCAGGAAACATTATATTGTCATATTTCGCCAGCAATTTTCAGGTAAATTGTTTGCGCCGGCTGCTGTGTGTACGCACACATGCTTACATGTCTGACAGCCACATAGAGAGGGCAGGTGACTGAAGGATGGAATCCCAAAATCAGTACATCTCAAGGCTTCAATATCACTAGCGATAAAAAGATGGGCAACTCTCTTTTCTTTTTTGATTCATACAAAAAAAACAAATACTTTGCAAACATTTAGCTATTCTCAGCCAGTCTCCCTGGCATCCTTGAACCAAGCCAACAAGCTGATATTCAGAGGAAGTCTGCTTTAGGGGAAGTAAAAAGAGACTTGCTGTCAAAGAGTTTTCTGGCACCTTGGTGTGCCCTTGACTGGTGTATCCGTCAGTAGCATCTCTTCACTCTGTGTGTGTGTGTGT